AGTAGAAAACTAGGACAGTCTCACTTGCAAGGAAAAAAACAAAGTTAGCACAAGAAATCCCACTTAAAAAAAAGAACAAGATTAAGCTTAAACTTACTATCTTAAATGATCATGATCTTAGCAATATTCTTTGCCACTTTAGGGTTCCCTAAAGCCCAATCAAATTTATTTAAGTCAACCTCTAATGTATACTATTTTTTATCAAGGGACTTATTGGGTATAGAGGCGAGCATAATAGCCCCCACACCTTGGACCTTAGATGGTTGAGGCCTCTAGGATGGCTTATGCATAAGTTTTCTCAATGTAGCTACCTTTTCTTTTGGTAGGCCAAAGCAACTAGGGATTCCACCCACTGTGAGATGTTTATCATTCGTCAACTTTGGTGATGAAGGAGAAAGATTGGTAGCCTTGGCTTTACCGTTGTCAACTAGATTAGTAAAGAGTTTGATGTCAAAAGGTTTATTAGCCTTGCCCTTAGAAAGCTGGAGCATGAACTAGTCTAATCACCTTTCCTAGCCATAATTGACAAAATAAGAACCAAGCTTAAAGTTAGAAATAAAGAAATCTTTAAGGCCAAAACAAAAACAAAAATCAAGGTGACTATTAAGAAGTTACTTCTAAACCCTATATCGACTAAGGATTCTTTTCGGATTAGCCTATTGACGTATATAAGCATCTTTTCTTTTTCCCTTAATTTGTTAATGGCATCAAAGTGACTAAGTTCTACCTTGGATAAAGGGCAAACACCTCAACCATGTTATTCATAGGAGCCCTGGCCATACCAATCTCCTATCCTATCTTATTGGCATAGAATTAAAAAAAAAAAACCTTTCACCCCTTTATTGACAATAGAACATTGGTGAATAGTTTTCAACTTAGACAAGTTGTTATGTAATACCAGTTCTGATCACTAGGGTGGAATTTTATTGTGAGAAATTGGTTAAATAAGTTTAGGGTAGGTGCAAACCATAAGCTCTCACAAACTAGTATAAAATTAATGATCTAACATCGGGCATTAAGAATGATATAAGAGATTGTTATTCCAGTTTAATAATTAAACAATGAAAAAGTGAAGAGAAAATCTAAGGCCAATAACTATGGACTCCTTGTATACCCATAACTTGGTATGAACTTGAGACTATGTGACTATATCATTAGGGTTAAACTCTTAGATAATGAACTGCTCAGGTGGGCCAAATGAAAGTTTAAATTTAGCATAATGGTAGGATTTATATAGATTGAGGCAATCCTAAGAAGCTACTTATCTTTTTGAAGACTTATAACCTCGATGGGCAATGAGTCGAGGCCAAATGTAGCAAAAAAGAGTTTATGAGGAAATATCAAGGCTAAAGGACCGAAGAGATTCTAAGTAATAAGGTTGGTGGAGTTCTAAAAGTCCTTAGTGTCCATCCACTTAGGGATTTTATTATAAAGGAAATGGTTGGCCTCAGAGTCAACCAAATAGGCAAGGTTTATGGAAACATTGGAAGATATTGTAGAAAGAGGAAAAAAACCTTACTTAGTACCATCAGCAACCAAGAAAGCTAAGGAAAACTCTTTAGGATTAGCCTATGGACCACAAGTATAGGTTACTATAACCCCTTAAGCTCTCATGCTCTCATCTAATTCCATAATGGTCTCGCCAATCATACTATTTAACCAAAAGGCTATCTTAGAATGGTCCTAACCATTAATTATAGATGAGACACTACAAGAAAATGGAAGATTAATGGTAGTTTTATAGTGGCATTTCACTTATAAACGCAGTTAACTTTCATGTTTTTATAAAACTTAAGGCTTTTATTATCAAAACACCACTAAATATTCAAATAACGGTGTTTTTACTTCTAAATGCCACCCAAGCCAAAAATTAGTAGCGTTTATTAATTAAAACACCTTGAATAATCATCTTTAAAAAATTAGAGTGATTATTAAAGATGTTTTTGACAAAAATGCCTTGAATAATCCTATTACAAAAATGGATAGGAGATTACTGAAGGCATTTTTAGCAAACAACGCCTTAAATAATCCCTTCATAAATTTTATTAAAAGAATAATTTTAAGGTCTGCGCAACAGTCTGGGTTCGGGAGTCGATTACGTGTGAGGAAGGATTAGCACCTCCACGGTGCCCATTTAAAAATGGTACCAATTAACTACGTGTTATCCTTTAATTTTGATAAAAAATAGTCTCATTTTCGATATTTGAAAAATAATTTTCTTGATTTTTTTATTTATTATTCAAAAAAAATAAATTAGAACCTTTTTATTAAAATAATTCTTAAAATGTTCTAGTACGTTGGTAACATTAGAAGAACTCTTTTTCACTTAGAGATTTCTTAGGCATCGCTTCTCAAAATACCTTAGAATCTCATCTTCGGAGGCTCAAATTTATTTTTCCTAAAAAATTTATGTCATGCATGCAATACAGAATGTTACCATGTTGATGCACACATTTTATTTTTTAAAAAATTTTATTAATTATTTTATTTAATTTTTTAATTTAAATTTTTGAAGGAAAAAAGAATTTTTATTATATTGAAGTTTTTATATAAATATTTTCATACACTGGTAATATTTTTTAAAAAAAATTTCACTTAGGGATTTCGTAAAGCATCCCTACTTGAAATACTTTTAGAATCTCATCATTGAATAAAATTTATTTTTTCCTTATTTATATTATCACTTTATTACTTTATTAATTAATTTTTACTTACTATTTTATAACAAAAAAAAAATTTATTGTATTAAAAAATTTTTATAAATACTCCAATACATTGATAGTATTTAAAAAAAATCTTCTTACCTAGAGATTTCGTAGGCATCACTACTCGAAATACCTTTGAATCTCATCGTCAGATAAAAATTTTTCTTTTCTTATTGTTTATTAATTTTATATTATTTTTATTTAATTAAATTTTTTTACCAATTATTTTATAAGGTTTATTCAAAATTATCAAAAACTTTTATTATATTTTATTATTTATTATTAATTATTATTATAAAACAACAAAAATTTATTCTGGTAAATTTTAACATGCATAAATATTAAGAATAATAATTAAAATAACAAAAACAATATATAAAAAATCTAAAAAAAATTAAAAAAAAATTTCTTTTACCTGAACCGGATCGGTCAACGATCCCATCAATGCGTGGGTCGGTCCGACGGTTTGGTCTGGTTCGGTTCGATTTGGGTCTGTTCAAATGGACCGATTAGAGGGTGAAAGAGAAGTGGGTCATCGGGTCAGATGCGTGGACCTCAAATCGGATCACGGGTTGACACGTGGATCCTTAAGGCTCAAAATGGCGTCGTTTTGGTTTTGGCGCTTTCTATAAAAGTAAAAAAAAAAATTTCTATAATTTTCTCTTCCCCTTCTCTTTCTTTACACTTTCAGACCCCTCTCTTTAGAGCCTGCCAGACGGTGGTCGTCGTCGCTTCGATCGTCGGCCGTCATTCATTGGTCGCCATATCCGACGGTCGAAAAATCTTAAAAGGTTCTCTTCGACTCCCTAAATATAGATCTGGGCCTAGTTTTACTCGAATCTCATTGGAACGCCCTAGATCGAACTTTAAAGATTCGGTTAAACTTTTTTTTTCTTTTTTTTAAACAGTTAGGTTGATTTTTTTTTTGTAGGAAAGTTTTTGGCATTGGGTTATTCCCTTTTTGGGGAGGACTGTATTTTTTTGGATTTTTTGCTTTTTTATTTTTATTTTTGCAAGGTATCTTTTTGATAGAACACTTTTTTTTTAATTTTGAAAAATATTTTTTTCAATTTTTTTTCAATCCTCTTTCCTTTTATTGTAGGTAACAAGCTCTATTTATAGAGCTTTTTGAAATTTAAATATCATATTTTTAAGTATTCGAATATCATATTTCAACCTAAAATCTATACTGTCAAGTTAGGTAGTGTGTCGGACGATTGCCTGTGGTGGTGACGGCTAGCATTTTGGACTTTGGTGGTGATGGTGTATTTAATGCACTAAATTTTATCAATTGAATTGGATAAGAAAAAGAGAAGGAAAATAATAATAATAATAATAATAATGATAATAAAAAAATGTTGTTTACAACAAAACCTAACATTTTTAAAACTAAATAAAAGGTTGAAGATATAAAATTTTGATTTAAACGATTGAATCGATTTAATTAATTGGTCTATTTAAAAAAATGTTAATATTAAATGTATGGTCATTATTAAATAAATATTAAGTATAATAAATTTTTAATAAAAATATGTACTTGATCTAGTGATAAAATTTTTAACACATAAAAATTAAAAATTTAAATCTTATAATTTATAAAATTATTTTTTAATTAAATTAATATTTAAATCAATTCAAGCATCAATTCAATTTAGTCTAATATGATTCCATTGATTGTTTGACCGATTCTTTATTGAATTGACAAAACAAATACAAGATTTGATGTACTTTATTGGATCCAATAAATCACTGATGCAACCAATTATCTGATCTAATTTTTTAATCATTGACAAAATTAGACTTACATTATTAAGAAAATGCTTCAATAATTAAACATTAAATGGCATAAATAAATCAAATTAAATTTTAAATTTTAATTTCAAACTGTTAATTGCAGTGAATTAAATGACAGATTAATATGATAAACAATTTGGTAATTTTATTCGAGGGATAGATGATTGTTTGGTGACGTAGTAAAACCCTTGTTTTACTATGATGCTTGCCACTTGCAAGAGAAGGATGGCAGGACTTTAACTCTTAAGCCAATAAATAAATGTAAGATCAAGCACAAACATCTTTGATTGAGCCAGTTTACCAAACTGAGGATGAAGGTACTTAGTTGGGCGGACCAGAATCGATCCCTCGAGTTCTCAAATGAATTTTATAAATTTTTTATGTTCGAGTCCATTTCAAAAGTTACTCAACGTTGACCCACTTAAATTCGATTTTCACTAATTTATCAAAAGCCCAAACAAACTAAAATTAAAATATTTAAATAAATATTATATTTTGTTTATAAATATTAAAAATTCGATAAAAATCATAGACCATTCTAATAAAATATTTCGAAACTCAACCTCATTCATCCAGTTGATTGATTAGCTCAAGTTCATCTTAACAACAAATAAGTCGGAATTTTGAATATTCATCGAGTAGCTCACAAATAACTTGACACGCTTACGCCAGTGGTCCAGTCAATCTTTCAGCGTGTCCATAGAGAGAGCCGGGGTAAACACCGGCAACTAGTAAACCAATGAAACAGTAGCAACACCCGCCACGGTCGAATTTCAAGTCTACAAATAACATAGCTTTGAAGCAATTTTCATAGCAATTGAGTACACGTAGTCATCATCATATAAAAGACCATTAAATTCGATTATCTAAGTACCCCAAACATGCAGTTATCAATAGAATAATTACAATTAATTATCAGTTATAAAACATTTCCAGAAAAAAGACGAGAAGAGATAAGGGTTAGCCCCCAAAAGAATTTCGGACAAAGCTAGAAACCTGCAAACAAAAGAATTTGAGTCTATCTAATTCTAATGTGTTAAGACCTCTCGACACTGCCCTCATTACCTTCATTAGAGAAAATAGGGATGCGGTGAAGGAATTGATTTCAGTACTTACAGTAAATGGGGATGCGCGGTTAGGACTATTAGGTATTATTATTAACCATAAATTCCACTGACGATCTTTGGGGTGAAAAAGAATATCAATATATATCTTCTCAGCTAATTCCATGAAGAACTTCACAACCTGAATCATCCTCAACAGGAAGATTCAGATCTGGCAGCATGAAAGAAGTCTCGCAATTTGCTGTATCCTGTACTTCAGAAGATCCATTAGGCATGTAGGGGTCATTTTCGTTGCACCCTACACTTGCAGTATGACAAGCAGCTTCTCTTTGCTCGGATAGGTCTGATAGTGCATTCTTTTGTTCAACAAAAGCCATAGCTGTTTCTCTCGCCTGATCTGATTGATAATCAAGCTGTAGAGAGAAAGGAGAGTAATTGTTAGATCTTATCCAGCATCTCATCTCCATTTACTTACACCAACAATTTTAACGATCTTATATTATCACTGTGTCCTCATTGACATTGTACAGCTAGAACCAGAACATAAATTTTCGATTATCAAAAAAACTTTAGGTATACAACTACAATTATTTATCAGTATCAACATATCATATTTGACAAATAATAATAATAATAATAATAATAATAATAATAACCAATGTCTACACCACTGCTTAAGAAGTTAACACCTTACTACAGACCACTAACACCATACTTAACAGCGGGTATGGATGAACCGATACATGGAAGCACATGCAGAAAAGCTGCTAACTTTAGCAGCAAAAAATTTTTGGTTCACAATTTTCCAGATAGAAGTATAATAACAGTAACATAGTCCAACTAGCTGTCTTAAAAGAGCCAACATAAGAGCATGCATAGCACACACCAGAGAACAAGAAACTTTTTGCAAAACTCAAAAAGATTCACAAGAAAAAACAAAGTGAGGTTGACTAATAGTTTCCTCCAGATACTGCCATACCTCTTTCAATGCAGGCCTCTCCAAGTAAATATCAACAAAGCACATCTCAATCCTATCTTAAGATTAAAAGCATTTTTCTGATATTGCAAAAAAAAAAAAAAAAAAAAAATTCCATTCAAAAGTGCCACTCCATGAGCCTTAGACTCATCTGACAAATAACATCTGTGACAGATCATAAAAAGTCTCCCTTTATTCCTGTTAGGATTATAAATATTTGAAATCTGCTTACCTGGGGCTTTCCTAGATTAGTGGCCCATGCCATACCATTCCAACAGCTACAACTTTATTATTATGTCAAATTCCAAAGTGCCATAATAATTCATTCACATAAGAAATAAATGAGATTGGTTGTTATATTCCAAATATAAAGTATTAAAACCAGTACTACAAGATAAACAAAGTGATCCTGGAAAACTGATTACCATATGAAGCTTGGGTATTAATATGATGTGCTATACCACATGCCATACAGAATATAAGAAAATAAAATGCTGAACTGCGTTGAACTACTGAAGACAAATTTAGTATATCATCACGTAATATATGAGCTTAACAGCACAAAGCACCCTCACATATTTCCAAAACAAAAAGGCCTCCATGCAAAATTGCACATACACTAGTAGGGCACAATTGTTGAAAGAAGGAGAAAACTCTTCACCTTCATTCTCTTAGAGCTTTCATTCGTGGCTCTCTCTTTTTCAAATTGGAGCATTCTGCTCCAAGTTTCATTTGTAGCTCTCAGATTCTCAAATTTGAGCTTGACCATTTCCAATTCCTGCTCAATGAGCATAATGGAAAACAATTTAAAAAATAGATATTCCAAAATAGAAGTATCTAAAGATAAAAGGGGAGGGGGCAGAAAAACTGCCATAAGAAGTTAAAGAACCTACATTCTTCAAACTCTTATTTTCCTTCAAGTGGGAACTCATCTCTTCTTTAAGTTCAGCTAATGTCTGCATACAACCAGAAATCAAACCACTATAAGAAATAAATATAGCAATAAAATCACTCAATACAGGGAGGGATAAGAAAACAAAAGAAGATTCTGAAATCCAAGAGAATTTGTTCTCTTCATAAATAAGTCCTCCCATATAGACCCAACTACATTAATCTATTTTTAACCCATTAGAGTAGAATCGGGGTCTCCAAAATTACTGCTATTGCCCTCAAGAAAAACATCAAAATGTTAAATATGGCCACTTCAATTTGGAATGCATTTAATACTAGAAATGCCATGATAAGACCGTAAGCATGCCACATTTGTCACTTCCTCAGGTCAATTTTTCTTTTACTAGTCTGTACAGGACAAATCTATTATGCAGTCATTGCGGACCATAGAACAAAGGGTTAGAAGATTATTATATATAACTACACAATGAAGCGAAGGCCCCCAAGCCTATTGTTCCATGCATGTCTTCATAGACCAGGTCATAATGTTGAAAGTTTTTACCTTTTTCCTTCTAGACCTCTTGGGAGGAGTTGTATCGTTTGTAGCCGCAACCTGAATAAATCACACGTGTGGTATTCAATAACCTTATTCCTTAGTAACTTAATTAATTAGACAAATTGGGGAAGGGGGGAAACTTCAGTCAAAAGCAGGAATAGAAGAACAATTGGACCTCACCAAAATTATCGTACAGTAAAGCACACAAGCTCGAAAATATTTTTTTGCCAATGAACATATTAAATGTTCGTGTGAGCATTTTCCTTCCAATTCTTTTTATTATAATTCTACAATTATTCAATCACAATAAAAATTATGTGAGTTCCACCACTTATGAATGTAAACTCCATAAAAATTTTTGATAAATCACACTCAATTCTAAATTATGACTGATTAATTATAATACGATAATTTTCTGTAATAATATTTGTACACAAGGCATAACGGGACATCAAGACAAGTAAAAAAACGATTTTGCGAACAATTGGAAAGCACTAGAATCACATTGCAGCATACATGATAAGATTTCCTAAATTCAAAGTTATTTTCAAAAAGAAAAGCCAAAAGCTTGGCAAAGATGCAGGAAATATACAAGAACAGGAACATTCCTAAGAAAGTTTCCCACCCACCAAAACTAAATTCCTTTTTAAAAAAGAAAATATAAAAAAAAGGCTAGTGGCATGCGTTTTCATTCAACCAAACACGACATAGCAGCAAGACGCGGTTTTAGAGAAAACCAATAGCTTGCTGCCACTTCAATACCCAAAGAGAGTCACATAGCTTATCCTGACCGACTTGCCCTTCGGCCTTTCCACGTGGATTCAAAACTTTCCCGTTCAAAAGTCAGAACCATGTAGAGCCCAACCTCCACATGCTACAAATGCAAAATAACTACAATCTCAGCCCAAGACTTGGGTCCTTCTTTATCCACATTCCATACCAAAAACCAACCAGTCAGCTTCTGCTATAGATTTGGCCACAAAATGGTCCCCACTTTAATGAGTTGCTAACACAAAAGAAGCCTCTCTCCTCACAGTTGGCACCTAAAAAAATGCCATAATCGGTTTTTTTTTTTCTAGTTTCAATTCAATACCTCTCTCCTACATGAAACATTAATTTCCCCCACCATACCACTAAATCTCCTACATCAGGCTGTCACTCATAGGAATCACTGCCCAATCAAGAGATGTTGCTTTCCCTAAAAAAGGGTTTTTGTTTTCGCGGATCAAAGACGTCATGCAGATCCAATGACGACACATGAGATCTAAGAAAAGATTCTAGGTGCGAGCACACTGAATCATTCCTCTTTGATGAAAAACACTCCCGAAGAACATAAAAGTGCATAGCACTAACAACACGACACCAAACTACACGCAGACCTATTTTTGCCACGAAAACACGCCATCGATAATTCAGGCCACAACAGTTTTTTTTTTTACTACGTTGCCCCTCGAGAACTCTAAGGGGTTGGACAATTTTGCGGAGAAGTTCGTCATTTAAAGCAAAAGATTGAGGATATTGACTCCGACAAGGGACTTCGATTTTGAGACACAGGACCCAGACAGTTACAAGTGCATGCATCTGGGAATGACAAGAATGCCCATTAAGGGAAGGGTGTTTTAGACTTTTCAAGAAGTAGATATGAAGCGCGGAGCATTGTTAGCGATGAAAGTAAAGGGAGAAGAAAACGTGACTCTCTATGCGTTGAATGGAAGTCACTAAAATTTCTCTTCGAAGAATAAAAGAAATTATTTATCAGAAAAAAGGGAAAGTCATAAGTTTAAAAAGAAAAGGCATTGCAGTCAACGGAGTCCGGTGGCCGGAAAAGAATTTCCATCTGAAGATAGAGTGACGTTAACGTCCTTGGAGATTCAAGAGATATCCCCATGCAAAAAAGGTGTAATCGTCTTTTTAAAAATCTTATACGTACCTGAAATAAAAGAAATGAAACTCTGAAAAGAAACGAAGCGAAACGAAATCTAGCTAACAAGTGCCTAAACAGGACTCACCTAAAACGACGCGAATTTCGCACTTTTTCTAGGGCAATTTCGTCAAAAAAACAAAAAACGGCGACAACAAGAAAACCCACCAAACTGAAAAAACCGAGTCAACTATACGACTCACTGAGTCGAGAAAATAAACAGATAAAACGTAAACAAACCTTAGATCTAGCGTTTTCAACCGACTTCGAAGGACGGCTAGACTCCTCGGAGCCGTCGGCACCACCGCCTCCGCTAACCGACGTGCCACCGCTCCAAGAAAGCGGTGTGGAGGGGCTGGCTCGTGCCTGTTCACCTTTCTTCCTAAGAGCCTGCTTAGACCGACGTTGACGGACACTCCACTCGAGTTGCAAAGCCGAGGAGGAAGCACTGTTGTACTTGGCTGACTGCTCCTGCGGCGGTAACCGTGGCGGAGGATCCGCTTGGACGAGGCTAAGTAATACCTCTGCCACCAACAAGGAATCGGCCATCGCTTCTTTGATCCACTCTTCTTCACTCATATTCCAAAGTCTGAGAGTTTCCAAAATATTGAAAGCAAAAGTAAAGAGAAAAGAAAGTACGAAAGATGGTGGCGAAGGAGAGAAGATGAAAACAAGTTAGGGGCTTTATATTTATATGTGAGAGAAAGAGAAGGGAACAGATGCCTTGTTGACAATCCTTGCTTTTATTTTTGTTTTTATTTATTTTATTTTATTTTCGTTTTTGGGGATTGGCGTTTGGTCGTAAAATTATGCGGATTGATTTTTTTCTTTTCAGTTTTTTTTCTTTTTTATTTTTTTTCTTCCTATCCATGTACTTTTTTTAGATGGGCCGACCCGTGGCAGCGACCGTCAAGAGCGGGAGGTTTTGTCTTCATGTTTGGTAAAGGTCAAAGACTCAAAGGCTTTCAATGTGGTCTTAATTATACGCTCCTTCAAGGCGCGTGAAATGTGCCTCGCATTCTTTTTTAAAGATTAATTTTCAATCCAAATAAAAGTGATCTTATTTTTAAAAAAATACATTTATTTAACGTGGGGAGCATTTGTTAGCTTTCTCTTAATTGATTCATTGATTGATTTATGGCTACTAACTGAAAAAATCATTTATGCTACAACTAAATTTTGCACTTTTTCTATGCTACAACTTACTTTAGTATGAAATTAAAAAAAGTTATTTTTTTAATCATTTATTTTAATAAATTTAAAAATGAGATTAATTTTTTTCTTTTCACTTGTTTTTTCAATCTCTTAGTTCTATTAAAATTAATAATTAAAAAAATAAAATTTTTAATTTTATACTAATATTAATTAATCCTTTCTTTAATTAATGTATATATATACTCGTATCTATCAAAAACATATTATTTTTATACAACTAAAAAAAATTATCCTAAATAAATTTATTACATTTTTTAAGATAGTTAGAGATGTCTTATTTATTTTCTAACTCTTTTGATAACCACTTAACCTTAGTTAGCCAAAAAAAAAAAGATTTTTTTTATCAAATAGACCCTTTGGCGAAATTTATGGTATTTTGAATGAATATAGAGGTTAAAATTATTTTAAAAGAATTCAAGCTCAATTTTTTTTTATTAAGTAGAGATTTAAATTATCATTTTAAAAGATTTTGAATTTAACTCAATTAGCTTGTATAATCTTTCTTAGGAAATATCATTTGATAAGTTTAAAAATCAAATTTTAGAACTTACAACTCTTTTTATTCTCACATTATAATTTCTTTTATACTAAAAAATTATCATTTAAAATATATATATATATATATATATATACCTAGAAATTAAATGGAAGGAAAGGAGATTTATATTTCAAACTTTCTTTTTGTGTGTGTTTTAGGTGTCAAACTGTTTTTTTTAATAGATCTTAAATTTATATTTTTAATAAGACCTCGGGTTTATCTATAGTAAAGTCATAAATTGTCGACTTTATTTTAAAGGCATGAGATATCATGATATCTCATAAGAAATTGAAAAAATTATAAAAAAATGAAAAATGAAAAAACAAGTTAACAGGTTAATTAAAAAATATAAAAATAATTTTTTTATTTATTTGACAAACAAAAAATTAAAAATTACATTTTTTATGCTTGTTATCATTTATTCTTATAAAATAATGATATTCAAACAAAATTTCAACTATAGTTATGTCATATACGATTTTAATAAACAATATTTTTGTTATTTCTTCATTATTAACAAATAACAATGTTACAACAATAATTAATATAAATTTTAGTATTCATCTTAATAATTTTTTAATTTTTTTAGTTTTCAAATATAAATTATTTTATGTTATCTTTTTAATCTTAAAATTATTTTTTTAGTTATTTATGTTATTTATTTTATAATTTTATTTTTATGATTTTTCTTTCTAATTTTAGAAATTTATTAACATAAATCATAAAAATGAAAGCTACCATTGTACCATTTTATTTGTATTATTTTTTTTATAAATACTTTGATTACAAATTTTAGTGTCTTTTATAAAAAAAATACGTTGTTTACTTAAATATTTATATTATAATAAAATCTTTTTATGGTTGTTCTTATCATTCATTACATTTAAAATTATCATAACTTTTTTTTAGTATGTTACAACACTTCTTATTCATTTTACACTAAATGGTATTAATTTTACATTTCTTCTCACTTGTTTACATTATCAATTTTTTTATTTCTAGCTATTTTCCTTATATATATACAACAACAATAATTAATTAAAATTTTATATTATCATCATAATTATTTACATTATAATAATATATTTTTATTGTTATTTTTACTTTTCATCATATTTAAAATTGTTGTAGCTTTTTTTTAGTGTGTTACAACACTTCTAACCTATTTTATTTCAAATGATACTAATTTTATGTTATTTTTCACTTATTTAGATTATCAATTTGTTTTTTAATTTTAGCTAATTTTTTTATATTTACAAGAATAATAAATAATTAAAATTTTATGTTGTCAATATAATTATTACCTTTACAATAACATTTTTTTATAGTTGTTTTTACTTTTCATTATGTTTACAATTGTCATAACTCTTTTTTAACATATTACAATACTTTTTATTTATTTTACCCTAAATGGTACAAATTTACATTTGTTCTCACTTATTTATGCTACCAATTTATTTTTTAATTTCTAACTATTTTTCTTAGATATGTATAAAATAATAATTAATTAAAATTTTATGTTGCCAATATAATTATTTATGTTACAATAATATATTATTATGGTTATTTTTAATTTTAATTACATTTAGAATTGTCATAACTTTTTTAGCATATTACGATAGTTCATACTTATTTTATATCAAATGATTCTAATTTTACGTTTCTTCTCACTTGTTCACGTTACCAATTTGTTTTTTAATTTTTAGCTATTTTTCTTATATATTTATAAAAATAAATGATTAAAATTTTACGTTGACAACGTAATAATTTATGTTATAATAATTTTTTTTTATGATTGCTCTTACCTTTAATTATGTTTAAAATTGTCATTGCTTTTTATTAATATATTATGACATTTTTTACTCATTTTACATCAAATTATATTAATTTTACTTTTTTTTCATTTTTTTACGTTACTTATTTATTTTTCAATTTTTAGTTATATTCCTTATGTATTTAAAAAATAATAATTAGTTAAAATTTTAAATTGCTAACATAATTATTTATGTTACAATAATATATTTTTACAGTTGTTCTTACATTCCATTATGTTTAGAATTGTCATAACACTTCTTATCCATTTTACGTCAAATAATACTAATTTTATGTTTCTTCTCACTTGTTTACATTACTAATTTATTTTTTAAGTTTTAGCTATATTTCTTATATATATATATATATATAAAAATAATAATTGATTAAAATTTTACATTGTCATCATAATTATTTATATTATAATAATATATTTTTATGATTGTTCTTACTTTCCATTACATTTAGAATTATCATAACTCTTTCTTAGCATTTTACAACACTTCTTATCCATTTCATACCAAATGATACTAATTTTACATTTCTCACTTGTTTATATTATCAATTTGTTTTTTTTTTAGCTATTTTTCTTATATACTTACAAGAACAAAAATTAATTAAAATTTAAAGTTGTCAACATAATTATTTATTTTACAATAATATCTTCCTATGGTTGTTTATTTTTTCATTACGCTTAAAATTGTCATAACTCTTTCTTAATATGTTACAATACTTCTAAATGATACTAATTTTACATTTGTTCTCATTTATTTATTTTATCAATTTATTTTTTAATTTCTATCTATTTTCTTTAAATATTTACAAAATAATAATTAATTATAATTTTATGTTGCCAATATAATTATTTACGTTATAATAATATATTATTATGGCTATTTTTACTTTTCATTATATTTAGAATTGTCGTAACGATTTTTAGTAAACCTAGTAATTTAAAACACGATACAATGACACAACACAAATACGATACGAAAAAAGGATATGAAGGTGACACGGCTTAAAATTTTAGTAATAACTATATATGAATTCAATAAAACAAAAAAAAATGCATTTCATGTTTTCTTGTTGATATGAATAATGATATACAATTTTCATATAAAACACGATATGAATACATGAATATTAGCATTTTACAAGGCACTAATACATGAATCAACAAGTTTACTTTTTAGTGTATTATGATAATTTATACTCATTTTACGTTAAATGTTACCAATTTTATATTTCTTTTCACATGTTTACATTATCAATATATTTTTAAATTTTTAACTATTTTTCTTATATGTTAAAAAATTAATTAATTAAAATTTTATGTTGGCAACTTAATTATTTACGTTACAATAATTTGTTTTTATGATTCTTCTTACTTTTAATTACATTTAAAATTTTCATAATTCTTTTTTAGCATATTAGGATTTTTTTTAGTTTTACACCAAATGATACTCATTTTACATTATCTATTTGTTTTTCAATTTTTAGCTATTTTCTTTATATATTTAAAATTATAATAATTAGTTAAAATTTTACATTGCTAATGTAATTATTTACATTGTAATAATATTTTCTTATGGTTATTCTTATATTTTATTATGTTTAGAATTGCATAACTTTTTCTTAATGTGTTACAATAATTTTTACCTATTTTACACTAAATGACACTAATTTAACATTTTTCACTCTTGTTTATGTTACCAATTTATTTTTTAATTTATAACTATTTTATTTTATATATATATATACAAAAACAATAATTAATTAAAACTTTATATTACCATCATAATTATTTATATTACAATAATATTTTATGTTTGTTCTTACTTTTAGAGGTGTTCATAGGCCAGGCCAAACCCATCCATTAAACTTACTTTATATAATAAAAATTAAAAAAGAAAAGTAATTAAATTAAGTTTAATGAGATTATATTTAATTTACATATATATAAATTAAAAATAAAAATATATAAAGTAAAAATTAAGTTTAATAAAATATAAAATTTTTATTTTTAATTATATATATTTGAATTAATTTCTATTTAATTCACATATATATAAAATAAAAATTTATATATAGGCTCGGTTCAAAATTTAAATGGGCCTAAAAATTGTGCCCAAATCCATTTAATGGGTTTTAATTTTTGTTCAAGCC